CCTACTGGGCACACCAGCCCACACACACCTGCCCACACACACCTGCCCTGCTGGGCACACCTGTCCACACACACCTGCCCACACACACCTGCCCTGCTGGGCACACCTGCCCACACACAGTCCACACACACCTGCCCTGCTGGGCACACCAGCCCACACACACCTGCCTGCACACACCTGTTTGCACAAACCTGCCCACACATACCTGCTCACACACACCTGCCCTCACACACCTGCTCACACACACCTGCCTGCACACACCTGCCCACACACACCTGCCTGCACAAACCTGCGCACACAACCTGCCCACACACACCTGCTCGCACACACCTGCCCTCACACACCTGCTCACACACACCTGCCTGCGCACACCTGCCCACACACACCTGCCTGCACAAACCTGCGCACACAACCTGCCCACACACACCTGCTCGCACACACCTGCCCACACACACCTGCTTGCACACACCTGCCCTGCCAGGCACACCTGCCTGGGCACACCTGCCCCCACACACCTGCCCTGCTGGGCATACCTGTCCACACACACCTGCCCACACACACCTGCCCTACTGGGCACACCTGTCCACACACACCTGCCCACACACACCTGCCCACACACACCTGCCCTGTTAGGCACACCTGCCCACACACACCTGTCCACACACACCTGCCCACACAAACCTTTCCGCACACACCTGCCCACACACACCTGCCCACACAAACCTTCCTGCACACACCTGCCCACACACACCTGCCCCCACACACCTGCACACACATACCTGCCCTGCCGGGCACACCTGCCCCGTATACACCTGCCCGCATACACCTGCCCACACACACCTGCCCCGTACACTCCTGCTCGCACACACCTGCCCTGCCAGGCACACCTGCCCCGTACACACCTGCCCCGTACACACCTGTGGGGGTCCTGGCGGTGAACTCGGGGTCGAAGTGGAAGGTGTCCTCGGGCCTGCCCACCGCCGGCTTGAAGGGAGGCTTGATTTCCTTCCGGTACAGCTTCTGCAGGGAGAGCAAGACAGGTGTGATGGGCCGCCAGCCGCCTGGGGGCCGGGACCACGATGCAGAATGGGGTTGGGCTCTCCCCCAGGGAGCAACTCCACCTCGGCACCCCGGTGTGTGAGGACGGCATGTCAGTGCCATCCACCCGCTCCGGGGCCGTCAGGGGACAGCGCAAGCAGCAGAGAGCATGCCGTCGAGCACAAATACAGAAACGCTACAGTGCACGGGCAGGGTGTGCCATGCGCTAAGTGGTTTTCATTTCAGGACAACAGCTTCAGCTTCTCCTGGGCTCTGAGATTTTCTTTCTCTCCTCCCTCCCCTCCTCCCTCTCTTTCTTTCTTTCTTTCTTTCTCTCTCTCTTTCTCTCCTTCCTTCCTTCCTTCTTCTCTCTCTCCCTCTCTCTCTCCCTTCCTTCCTTCCTTTCTGCCAGTCCTGGGGCTTGAATGCAGAGCCTGGCGGCGGTCCCTCAGCTCTTCAGCTCAAGGCAAGCGTTTTACCACTAGAGCCACAGAGCCACTTCTGGTCTTCTGGCAGTTAATTGGAGGCTCATGGACATTCCTGCCAGAACTGGCTTTGAACCGTGATCCTCAGATCTCAGCCTCCTGAGCAGCTGGGATTACAAGCGTGAGCCACCAGTGCTCAGCTGGCTGAAAGACTTTTGTCTCTAGGAAAACCCCTAGAAGTTGTCCTGACAGTCCCCTGGGCTGGTGACTTCAGGGCTGCCACCTTGGAGCCTGCCTTCAGCTGGCAGGGACACTGAAAGGAAGGTGCAGGGCGACACTGCAGACAAGTCAATGCTATCATTGGTATCTGGAACATCGGAAAGTCTCGGTAACGGCGCATGCTAAGCAGTTCTGTGGCAGTCCTGGCCTGGGATGGAGCCCTGCCCACTGCCCCACCTGAGGTGGTTATTTTCTGCCTATTCAAGTGCCATTTTGCCCAGACCCAGCGCGTCCTGGACACCTCCCTGATGCTCTGTCCAGGCGAGTGGCCAGCATTTCCAATGAAGTGACACCGAGTGGTGGGTCACACTTCTGCCCTCCCCCCACCCCACCCCCACCGCAGGCTCCACTGGTCAAAGCTCCAGATGGGCCCTGCCAGCCTCCAGCCTCTGCTGCCGAGCAAGGAAGGGACCAGAAGAGCCTCACCCCAACCAGGCCAGACCGAAACAAGTGCCCAGAGAAACAAGGACCCCCACCTTATTGGGGCTTGACTGCTTTCCAAGGATGGAGAGATCCCGAGCAGAAACCCAACGACTATCTTCATGAAAGGGACCTTGCGGTAGCCACCCCCACAGAGACCGGGAGACCCGCCTCTGCCCGCGGCCGAGAAGCCGGCCCAGACCTGACCTGTGGACCTGTTCTACCACAAGACATCTTTGGGGAATGGGGCAGGGCTTAGAGACTGGGCAGGGTCAGGAGGCCAGAGGGCAGATCTCCCAGTGGGTCCTCAGCCGCCCTGGGTCCGGCCTTGCTCCGCACCTGGCTCTATCCCTAGTCTTGTGATGGGAGGCGTCCTTTAGGCAGGACACAGGGGCCCTGTCTGAGAAATGCCCCTCTGTGCACCGACGGGGGCAGGAGATGGTGGCCACGGGTGCCTGCTGCGGAGGCCGAGCAGCGGTGTGGTGGCTTTACATGTGTGTGCATGTGTGCATGCATGTGCACGTGCGTGTGCATGTGTGTGTGTGCGTGTGTAGCCAAGGCTGCGGTTCCAGCCTGGGGGCTGGGTTCCCTGAGGTGAGGCCGGGGGGCAGAGAGGAGCAGCGGGGCAGGAGAGGGATAAGCACCCTGTGACTGTGCACTCAGGTGAGCACTGGACCAGGAGCCCCATCATCATTGTTAAAAATCTGAGATTAACGTACAAGTGCAGAAAAAGTAACCCCCAAGTGTGTGTCAGGGTGGACCTAAAAGGAAGGGCTCAGGTGGGGCGATGGGGGAGGCTCCTCGCTCCCGATTTTGGAGCCTGGGAGTTCCGGAGGTCTCTCTGCCCTTGGCGCCCAGCCGCTGGCAGTGTCTCCTTCGGAACAGAGCGGGGCCTGTGTACCTGAGACCTTGGGAGTGGTGCTGGGGCACGCGCCCGCCCTCCCCAGCGGGCAGGGCACCGGCAACCAGGCCGTGCCTCTCAGAGCCCGCTCACGCGCCTGCGGCCTCCTGCCTCCCAGTCTGGACCGGAGGGCTCTGCGCGCCGAGGTCTGCCTCCCCCAGGGACCCAGTGTGACTTACATTCCAGTCTATGGTGACAAAGAAAGGATGGCGCTTGGTCTCCTCCACTCCGTCCACACCAGCACCTGCAAAAGAGCAGAGATGGTGCTCAGAACAGACCCCAGGCTGAGGGCTCGACCTTCTGAATACAGAGGCCTGGGAAGGAGCCCAGAGCTGCAGCCTCCTCCTGCCCACAGGGACTGACACCAACTCACCTATGGCTGGACTTGGGCCAGGGGCCCCATCCAACCTGGGGTGGCCTGGGGCAGGGTGTGGGTCAGGGGTGTGGGCCAGGGGTGTGGGCCATCAGTTCTACAGAGACTCCTGGCATTGACTTGAAGCTGCCAGCTTGAGGGACAGGCTGATCACACGGAAGAATCAGGGCTCAGAACACAGAAACTGGGATGGGCATCAGGACAGGGCCACAGAGGCCAGGACGGCTCACACCAGGGGCCAGGACGGCTCACACCAGGGGCCAGGACGGCTCACACCAGGGGCCAGGACGGCTCATACCAGGGGCCAGGATGGCTCACACCAGGGGCCAGGACGGCTCACACCAGGGGACAGGATGGCTCACACCAGAGGCCAGGATGGCTTACACTAGGGGCCAGGATGGCTCATACCAGAGGCCAGATGGCTCACACCAGGGGCCAGGATGG